TTTTTATGAAAATCCACCTATGATTGAAAATGATTATCAATTTAATGGTAATAGGTGGAATAATTATGATAATGGTAATTTTGGTTGTTCACAAGATAATTTTGGTAATGATCAAGATTTTGAAAACAATTGGCATTACAATTCTCTTATGAATAATAATTATTTTGATGATTATGATCATGGGAGAAATTTTAATAATTTTGATCATTTACCAAATTATCGAAATAATTATTGTGATTTTTATGATAATCAAAATTATTGTAATAATCCCCCTAGATTCTTCGATGAAAATAATTATGAGCAGGAGGAGAATTATAATAACTTTGATTATCAAGAGAATTATTCCTCTCCTTATTCCTCATTTTGCCCTATTAATAATTTTGATGCGTTTACTAATGAATTAAAATCAATAAAAAATGACATGGATCGCATTATAAGAAATTTAATTGGGCAAATAGAATTAAAGAGATATACTAACCTTGATTTTGATGAATTCCTTAAAAAGAAGGGTTTAGTAAATGAAGAAGGTGATCTTTGTTATACTTTTCCTTATTCTTCACTAAACCATGATTCTAATCTAGAGATTTTCAATAATGAAAAAGAAGATATTCTTAAGGAAATTAGAAATCTCTATGAACTATTAGAATTCAAACCTAATGAATCTAATAAAATTCATCAAAATGAATGGTTAGCTGATGAATATAAAGATGAGGAAATTGAGATGGATAAAATTGTTGAATCAAACATAGCGCAAGAAGGAACACCTTCTTTAGGCCAACCACCTCAAGATGAGGAATTTGATGAAAATGAATATTATCTCGAACAAGAAAAACTTTGGGCTGATTTTGAAGATGAATATCAAGAAACATTGAAAAACTTGCTTGATAAAGGTATTCTTGTTCGAGTAAATAATGAAAATCACAATAATGGGTTGGAGGGAGTAATGCCTGAGGAAAACTTTGATGTTTCTCCATTAAGTTTAGAAGAGAAAAGAGACGATCAAGGACCTGTTTGTTCGTCTCTCAACGAGGGAAATGGAGAACATAAAAGTCAACTTAAGGAAGAATTTTTACAAAAGTCTGAGGGCATTAATCATTTAGGGGGCTCTATTGAATTTGACCAGAATGTATATCTTGAAGAGAGTCCCTTAGAAAAATTCATTCAAAGAGAGCTTGAGTCACCGAAGATTTTTCCTCAAAAAGAGGGTCTCTTTGAACCACCTTTCGTGAGGTCGAGCATCCCCAAGCCTGTACCTTTATAGAATATCTTTTATGCTTGGGGGTGATCAGTTCCTTTTATAGAATTTTCACTATTCCTTGGCTTCACGAATATCTCGGTCTGCGCCACCTTACGGCGGTTATTCGGAAAAGGTTGGAGACTCTCGAGGAGAGTGCTCCGTTAGACATGATTGTTTTACCAAGTTCAGGAATAATGGCGTCAAGCTAATGACGTTAAATTAGCGCTTAACGGGAGGCAACCCGTCATAATAATAATAGTAATAATAATAATAATAATAATAATAATAATAATAATAATAATAATAATAATAATAATAATAATAATAATAATAATAATAATAATAATAATAATAATAATAATAATAATAATAATAATAATAATAATAATAATAATAATAATAAAATTAGCAATAGTTCTTATTTACACTTTCACACACTGTGCACTTGTTTTTTTCCTTTGCTTTGTTGTTTTCTTTTCTTTTGCAGGGAAAACGAATGGAAGCAATCACAATTAGCCTTGTCAGTTTTCGCACCAGAAATTGTTTTAAATGGATAGAATTATTTTTCTATTGAATATAACTCTTTATTTCTAATCTTGGCCAAAAATTTTTAATTTTTATGATCACAAAAAAAAATGGGCCTCTCATCATATGCTTCACACTAAGTGTGAGGAAGATTGTCTTACTTTGATTTTTCTACTCGCATCTCGCATTTGGACCTCGAGGACGAGGTCCAGCTTAAGTGTGAGGAGGTAGAATATCAGGTATGATTATATTCTAGAAAATTATTTTCTTGATCAATAATCAGTTAATGAATTAGTTTTTAATTACTTTACATTTTTCTTTTATTTTCTAATAAATTAAATAATCATTTACTCATTTCTAAGTTTAACAATGAACTTTTATTTAAAATTGTACATGAGTTGGGTTTTAGTTGAGTAACTTAAGGTTGTTAATTACATAACGATTATAAGTCTTTTGGTCACTTTCTCTTTAATTAAACAAAGATAATTGTGAGGGTTGCGCTTTAGTGACGAACTGGGAATCCTATCTCCGAAAGGAGCTCTGCTTCTCCCGTGAATCGCATAAGGCGAGGGAGCAAGTATGCATATGCATGTAATGGGATAAACCCACAACCCAAACAATTGTTCCAATTGTTTGCGCTTATGTGCTGCGTTGAGTATTCTATCTCCTTTGGAGCTATGCCCTTCTATGATTAAAAAAAATAATAATCAATTCATAAGCAATAAAAAGGGCATTATGGGATAACTCACAAAAAAAAAGAGATAAGTGGACCAAGAGACTACGAATCGTTATCATTTACTGACCATAAGGGATCTCGAAAGAAAAACTTACTCACGCAAACTTTTAAATAAGTTCATTGTTAAATTTTTTGAAAAGAGTGATGAGATATTTAGATGTTAGAATATAAAGAAAAAGATGAAGTAATTAATGCTAATGAAATTAACTGATTATTGCAAGAAAGTAGGATTTTAGAAAATAATCAAACAATCTTCTTCATTCTTGTGTTGGTAGATGATGAGTTGCTTGAGGGCAAGCAACGTTTAAGTGTGAGGAGATTGATAAGTCCGTTTTGTACTTATCTTTTTACTCATATTTAATTTGTTCTTGTACCATTTTATTATCAAAACAATAAATTATTTATTCTTTTTTATCAAAAACATATGTTTTGATGAATTGATCATAAAAAGAATGTCTTTGAAATAATATATAAAATTGGGCCAAGAATAGAGTAAAAAGAGTAAATTTTAATAGAAAAACAATTCTATCTCACAAACGGTGCAGAATTAGAAGTCGGTGCAGAAGGAAAAAGTGTTCAGAACGAGATTTTAAGCAGGATAGCATTGACGGACCAGTGCGGCACAGTAGGCGGCCTGGCTGGCGGCAGCCTACCTGGCCGCCGGTCAGGATGGCGGCGACGGCGAGAAGATGAACCAGGCAGCGAGGGGGAGCGCTGGCGGTCTGACAGGCGACCGCATGTCTGCCCGCCTGTCGACGGCGACCAGCGATTCCAGATGGTTCCAGCGGCGCCGGCGGGCTGGCTGGAGGCCGCCAATCTGCTCGCCGGTCGGAAATCCCTCCTATAAATGCAGCGCCGATCCTCCACCATTCCCAAGCTTCCAAGTGCGATTTTCCCCTTTTTAGGGGTGAAAATACTCCCTTTTGATTTTTAATATTGTATTAAAATTGTGTGGGTTCAATTTCATCATTTTAAGTTAATTCTCAAGTCTTTGAAGCACTGTAAGTTTTACTCTACTTTTTATTGTAATCTTTATTGAACTTTTTATCAATAAAATTTTACTTTGTTGATGATTGATATGTTTTTGAAGATTTTAATGATGATGAATGTTTTGTTTGATATTATGAATTGGTAATTTAATATGGGTTAAGATTCGGAATTAAGATTTAATCAATTTAATTTCATCTATTTATTAGTAATTGGATTAATTGTTAGAAAATGAAATAATCTTTATTAATTAATANAAGCCACACGTTCCGAACACCTAGAAATAGGCAGTGTTAGAAATAACCGTTTGGAATGGTTTAAACTAATTAATAATGTTAAACATTTTATTAATTAAGTAATTGGAAAATAGTTCTTGCCTTGTCTATGAGGATTTAGAATTATTTAAGCCAAACATTTTCTAGCACAGTACTGAGACCTGAAAAATTGGAGATGTACTGGAATTATAATAGTCTTATATTTAATATTGAGACCTAGAAATAGGAGATATATTAAATATAAGTACTACAAATTTCATTAGTCCAATCTTTAATAAAAGATGAGTTAAATTGTGTTAAGTCTGCATTCCGATCTTAACTCCTCAAGTTATTTTATCATTTACTTTAGACGCTTTATTTCTTATTATTTCACGTTTCATAAACTATAAATTTACCTGTGATAAATAATAAAACTAACTATTCCATTCGTCACTCCTGGAGAGAACAACCCGAGTCTAACTCGGTTATTTGTTGACTTACCGCTATATTTTAGCTCCGTCATTGTCGTCAGTATCTACTTTGCAAATCATCACATCTCCTCTGTCTATGATTTCTCGTATGATGTGATAGCGTCATACAAGATGTTTGGTTTTCTGGTGAGATCGTGGTTCCTTTGCCTGTGCAATGGCCCTAGTGTTGTCGCAAAACAACGAGATAGGGTCATTAATACTAGGAACCACTCCAAAGTTCAGTAATGAACTTCTTGATCCAAACTGCTTCTTTAGCTGCCTCGGTGGCAGCTATGTACTTAGCCTCTGTAGTCGAATCGGCGGTTGTATCCTCCTTGAAGCTCTTCCAGCTAAAAGCTCCGCCATTCACGCAAAACAAATATCCTGCTTGTGATTTTGAATCGTCTTTGTTGGTTTGGAAGCTAGCATCAGTGTAACCGAACACCTTTAGCTCTTCCTCACCACCGTATACCAGGAATGTATCCTTAGTATTGCGAAGATACTTGAGGATGTTCTTGACCGCTGTCCAGTGTGCTTCTCCTGGACTTCCTTGGTATCTGCTGGTCACGCTTAAAGCGACTGAGACATCAGGTCTAGTACATATCATGGCGTACATGATGGATCCAATCGCAGAAGCGTATGGAACCTTCATCATGAGTTCCTTCTGCTCGGGAGTAGAAGGACTCTGGCTCTTGGAAAGAACCATGCCAGGTGTCATAGGTAAAGATCCTTTCTTTGAGTTAGACATGCTAAATCGATCAAGGATTTTATCTATATATGTATAGATTCTTATGCCAAGGACATAACTAGCATCCCCTAAGTCTTTCATGGATAAGTTCTCGCTCAACCACGACTTTACAGAAGTGAGAGCGGGAACATCGTTACCCATTAACAATATGTCATCGACATATAAGATTAGGAATACTATTACACTCCCACTGACCTTCTTGTATACACAAGATTCGTAAGAGTTCTTCTCGAAACCAAAACTGGAAATGGTTTCATCGAAACGTATGTACCAACTCCGAGATGCTTGTTTCAATCCGTAGATTGAACGTTGCAGTTTACAAACTTTGGCAGACTGACCAGCAATTTGAAAACCGTCAAGCTGTGTCATGAAGACATCCTCTTTGAGGTTCCCGTTAAGGAAAGCCGTCTTGATGTCTATCTGCCAAATTTCGTAATCGTAATAGGCTGCAATCGCAAGCATTATCCGAATGGATTTCAGCATAACAACTGGAGAAAAGGTTTCATCATAGTCAATTCCGTGGATTTGTCTATAACCTTTTGCTACCAATCGAGCTTTGAAGGTATGAACCTTCCCGTCCACGTCTGTCTTCTTTTTGAAGACCCACTTGCATCCAATGGGTTTTACCCCTTTAGGCACATCAACCAAGTTCCAGACTTGGTTTGTGTACATAGACTCCATTTCAGATTTCATGGCTTTGAGCCATAGATCGGATTCGGGGCATGTAATTGCCTCGAGATAGGTCTCTGGTTCGCCTTGATCTACCAACAAGACGTCACCTTCATCAGACATGAGAAATCCATATCTGACCAGAGGATTACGTATATCTTGAGCAGTTTGAGATTCAATTGCTTGATCTCTTTGCTCAGGTTCCAACACTATCGGGACTTCTTCTTGTGGTTCTCGAATTTCTTCGAGGTCTACCTTTCTCGCACTAGTGATAGTAGAAAGAAACTCCTTCTCAAGGAAGGTTCCATTCCGAGCAAAGAAAATTTTGTTATCGGATGGATGATAGAACTCATACCCTCTAGTTTCCTTGGGGTATCCCACAAAAATTACTTTATCAGATTTAGGCTCCAACTTACTAGACGTCATGAGACGTTTTACATAAGCTTCACAGCCCCAAATCTTAAAGTACGAGAAACTCGGTTTTCTCCCATGCCATTGTTCGTATGGTGTGCTCTCGACAGCTTTAGATGGAACTCTGTTGAGTGTGTGTGCTGCTGTTTTTAATGCATATCCCCAAAATGATTCTGGCAATGTTGTCAGACTAATCATGCTCCGGACCATGTCTAGCAAAGTCCGATTTCTCCTCTCAGACACTCCATTTAACTGAGGTGTCCCCGGAGGAGTGTGTTGGGATAAGATCCCATGCTCTTTCAGATAGTCATCGAACTCCAGGCTTAAGTATTCACCTCCTCGATCCGAGCGGAGGGTCTTAATACTTTTGCCTAATTATTTTTCTACTTCGTTCTTGAATTCTTTGAATTTGTCAAAGCATTCCGATTTGTGTTTCATGAGATACACATATCCATATCTACTTAGGTTGTCAGTAAATGTAACGAAGTAAGAATAACCACCTCTAGCTACAGTGCTAATTGGACCACACACATCGGAGTGTATGAGGCCCAATAAGTCACTCGCCCTTTCACCGTGACCGGTGAATGGAGCCTTTGTCATTTTACCAAGTAAACAAGACTTACATACATCATATGACTGGAAGTCAAATGAATCAAGTACACCTGAGCGATGTAACTTAGATATGCGTTTCTCGTTAATGTGGCCCAAACGACAATGCCATAGGTATGCGAGATTCAAACTTTTAGGTTTGTTTCTCTTAACATCCACGTTATATACTGCGGTATCCATGTCGAGGACATAGAGACCGTTCGTCATTTTTGCAGTTGCATAAAATATTTCATTTCGAAAGACAGAAAGAGTTTTGTCTTTTACAACGAACGAAAATCCTGCTTTGTCAAGGCAGGATACATAAATGATGTTTCTCCTCATACTAGGTACAAACAGACAATTATTTAACTGCAATACAAGACCACTAGGTAGAGATAATCTATAGGTTCCGACGGCTAATGCATTTACGAGTGCGCCATTGCCGACTTTTAATTGTATCTCTCCCTCTGTCAATTGTCTACGTTCATGCAGATCCTGCATAGAAGTACAGATGTGAGAACCACATCCAGTATCCATCACCCAAGAGGTGATATCAGACATATTGACTTCAATAACGAAGATACCTGAGGTTTGAGGTTTCTTTCCCTCTTTCCTCTCTGCCAGTAATTTTGTGCAGTTGCGCCTCCAGTGGACCCTTTTGCCACAATAATAGCATACAGCAGACTTCTTCTTAGCTCTTTCTATGGGTTTCAACGAAGAGGAGTTGGACGCTGGCTTTGGTTTCTTAGAACCCTTGCGCTTGGTCCCCGCCGGCGAACGTGGCCCACTCTTCTTCGCAACAGTACTGCCCTCTACCATCAGGACAGACTTACCCTTGCCCTTCCCTAGACTCTCCTTAGTAGTTGTGAGGAATTTCAGTAGCTCAGGCATAGTCATCTCTAGTTTGTTCATGTAGAAGTTCACTACAGTTTGACTATACTCAGCTGGTAATGATCCCAAGATGAGATCAGTTGCCAGCATAGGGTGCAACGGGGCGTCCAGTTTTTCAAGAGTTTCGATCTGACCGATCATCTTGAGAACGTGGGGACCAACTGGGTTACCCGTTGCCAGCTTACTGGAAAACAGAGTCGTAGAGATTTTGAAACGCTCATGTCTAGCCTGGCCTTGGTATAGACCTTTCAANGGAATTTCAGTAGCTCAGGCATAGTCATCTCTAGTTTGTTCATGTAGAAGTTCACTACAGTTTGACTATACTCAGCTGGTAATGATCCCAAGATGAGATCAGTTGCCAGCATAGGGTGCAACGGGGCGTCCAGTTTTTCAAGAGTTTCGATCTGACCGATCATCTTGAGAACGTGGGGACCAACTGGGTTACCCGTTGCCAGCTTACTGGAAAACAGAGTCGTAGAGATTTTGAAACGCTCATGTCTAGCCTGGCCTTGGTATAGACCTTTCAAGCGAGTCAGCATAGGATGAGCTTCCATGTCCTTGTGGAGCCTTTGGAGCTCCGGGGTCATGCTGGCTAACATGAGACATCTCACATCACGTGCGTCATCTTCATACTTTCGGTAAGAAGTAATTTCAGCAGCACGGGCATTCGCTTCAGAAGCTTTGGGAGGCTCAGATGTTAAGACGTAGAGCTTTTTCTCGCATTCGAGAACAATCTTAAGATTCATCTCCCAATCAAGAAAGTTAGTTCCAGATAATTTTTCCTTTTCTAGAACATATCGCAGGTTGAAAGGGTTGTTTTTTGCCATCTACAAAAATTTGCAAAATAGATTATCTATCATGTTTAATAATTAATTAGGTGTAATACCCGCATCAAGATGGGAATGAGAAGAGAGCTCAAAAGGATTGATAGTACTACTCATACCAACAAGGTGCATCTTCTTTTCGAGAGCTCATCACCTAGAAACTCCAAAGTTAAGCGTGCTTGACTTGGAGCAATTTTAGGATGGGTGACCCCCTGGGAACTTTCCTTGGGCACTCACGAGTGAGGACAAAGTGCGCGGGAAAGATGTGTGTTGGTTTGTGGGGCCAGTCTACAATCCTATGAGCAAACACTTACGACCAGGGTGGGGGCCGGGGTGTTACATTAGGCCTTTAATTAATTATCTCCCACTATTTTTAACAAATCAATAACCCTCGATATTGATTCGGAGATTTCCGGTGAAACCTCTAGTGGGCCAAGATCCATATTTCATTATCTTGCGTTCCGCTTGGGCGTTACTCCATAAGACAACTATTTAGGTAGGAACATAGTTCCAACTGATGAGTCGGGTTCTCAGCTCTTGGTACATAGACTCATTTAGGTAGGAACATAGTTCCACGACGTCTTCATGGTCTGCATCATTCTCATCAAATGTCAGCCGTTTCCGGCTTGGTCCTTCACCACTTATTTCCCTTTCCTTTTCAGCATTCATAATGCTTTCCGCAATACGATATCTTCACACAACCTATTCACTGTGCAACTCCTCCTCTTTGCTCCTTCGAATTTTTTGTTATCAACCCTCAGTTCACAAGCAAATGTGATACGATTTATCTTTCTTTGAATTTGGCTAATGTTTATTCCTCCTGAGCGATGAACGGTGTTGGAAATGGATAACAACCTCTTGAAATCTTCGTCGAACATTGTCGCCTCTATTTCACCAGTCTCATCACTCAATTGGACCTGGATTTTGTACCTACATGGTGTGTAGAAAGTTTAATTCAAAATAAGATATACTATGTACTTTATGTTTTGAAAAAATATAATGGTCTTAAACTAACTTTTTCTAATTCAACAGGCCAAACATGTGAAAGTAACTCCTTCTGGTGCTGTGGTTTTCCGATTGCAATTGTATGTTATTTGACATATAATTGTAAAGATTTTATTACGAAAATTTAATTTGAATGTGTGATGTGTACTGGGGAAATTGATTTTGAAATGTCGCCAATTTTGACCTTCGAACGCCCAGGCGGATAAGCATGTGCTATTAAGGCATTTTTATATCCCATTGTTTCAATGTAATTCTTTATAAGCTCCAAGCTTTCATCCCTCCTAGTAGTGCATTTTATACTACATAAATTGACAGGTGTGTGATCTCTTTTAATAGATATTAAAATGAGAATACAGTATTACCATTTTCTCAACCGGTCTCAAGTTGGATCTTAAAGATTAACTTCAAATACGGAATCATATCTTGTGGAGAGTGACACACCTGCTACATGTGCATGTTTCCATAGTAATTTACTACAATCTGCTTTGTGTGGTTATGAAGCTATGTTTTGGATAAATAAACATTACCATTGAAGGGAGTAACGGTCACCCTTTTACGCAAAATTATTGGGTGTCGCCCACTCTCTAAAAGGGATGTTATATCCCGGCCTGGATTCATTGCTAAATCTTCCCAAAGAGTCAACACAAGTGGTTTCATTCTTTTTAAGATGAAAGTAAAAATGTTAGATATACACAATGTTAAGGAATTAGAATAACTATGTCATACTTACTCTTCGTTCACAAGCATGAAATCATGTGCGGTTTTGGCATGTCTAGGAACGGAGACATACTCTCTGAATCACAATGGCCATGAAATCTAAATGTAGCAAACATAAAAAAAAAGTGTAGGTGTCACATCATTGTGATTTTCCATATTATGTTAATGAAGATTAATATTATTCACATACGGATTGGGGTTTCAGACCCGCATAAGTCATAGAAGTCAAAGAATGGTGTGAGGATAGTGTTTGTCTCAATTGTTGCCTGAATTTGCTTTGATTTTAGGGCTGCCTCAATCCAAGTCTTTTTACTCAACATCCAAATGTAATTATAGTTTGCGGATGGGGGATTACCACTATACTTGGTTAGGCCTGGCAGCAGCATTGCTTATGTAGTACATGTTTTTGAGGTCGAGTATCTTATCAATTTGTTCAATGTCACCACTATTTGCGAGAGCAAGAACCTTGGTACCCTGTACGGCAATGGTTGAATGGAACATGATTAATGCAAGTAATATGTACGCTTTAAGATTGATTATTTTATAAGCTTTATAAACTTTCCTCCTCATCCTGCAATATAAAAGGTCTGTAATTGTTAGGGCTCGTCCTTGAGTCTTTGATGTTCCGTTCCTCCACAACTCTAACCTTACATGTCCATTCCTTTTTGTTGTCATTTATTCCACTGATCATTCGTGTCTCCATAACTAAAATCATTTATAAAAAAAATTTATAAAATTTGAATAACCTTTTAGATTGTTATCATATGATACGATTTCATATTTTTAAAGGAAAAAACTATAAAATATTCAATAATATTACTTGAAAAAGAAAAAGGTTCTTACTTGTAAATGGATTTTACACTTACAAACAGGTTTCGAAAAATGTTAAAAATAAGACATAATTGAATAGCATGTTTCAACGTACCATTGAATACGAACATTGGCAGTTGTAGGTTGTGGGTTGGGTTTCGATTTTTTTGTTTGGGACTGGTGTTTGGGGTTGGTTTTAGGATAGACTCTAGGTTGGGTTTTGATTTCTGGGTTTAGAGTTTAGGCATGTTTTTGGGTCAGGGTTTTGTGTTTGGGTTTTGTGTGTGGTGATTGGAACACTTTACGTTTGTGTTTTAATTTTGGCTTTTGTGATTGGGACTGGTTTTTGGGGTTTGGTTTTGGGGCTGGTTTTTGGGTTGTGTTTTGACTTTAGGATTAAGAGTT